TCTCTCTCTCTCTCTCTCTATCTCGCTCTCTCTCGCTCTCTCTCTCGCTCTCTCTCTCGCTCTCTCTTTCTCTCTCTCTCTCTGAATGGCTGTTTCCCCATCACGTGAGTATTCATTCTTTCACGCTGTCGGCGTTGTGCGCCACCAGATGGCGCTGCTTGCATGCCACTATGTCGGGAAATCGAGTTGCACACGCGCGGCGTCAAGTGTTTAACAAATCGGACCCCAAAAAGTCGCACAATGCGGCCGTTCTCATCTGCGTACAGTAGATGACAACGAGTACAAATTAAAACCAAAAGCGTGTAGTTAGAATCTATCGGATTGCAACTGGTTTGTTTTTTTAGAAAGGAAGCACTGTGTGTTTGGTGCTCCTTCCCCTCGATAACCCCCTTTCATTCTGCTTTCACCAGACCCCCTCCCCCTTTTATTTCCAGAATTCCCGATTCCATTCCCATGAGGAGGCTAGCAATGGTTTGCTGCTGATTGAAGAGTCGGTGTGATTGGGCGTACTAAGCCTATTATATGTAGCCTTATATATAAATAAATATATATACGTGTATAACTGTATATATGCGGCCCAGTATAGGCCCCGAGTAGAGCTAGTGTCGTTGTCATATGGCTAGCTATTTTTTGCTTACAGCTCTAGCGGGTCACCTACAACTGGAATTGCTCCACATTCACTGTTCCCATCCAGGTCACACTTCACGCTTGCCAACAAAGCGTACCTGTCCTAGTTATGGCGTGCGCTTACGTAGTACACACACACACGCACGCACGCACGCACGCACGCACACACACGCACACACACACACAGGTGTGTTTGTGTGTGTGTGCGTGTGCGTGTGCGTGTGCGTGTGCGTGTGCGTGCGCGTGCGCGTGTACGCGCGCGTGCGTGCGTGTGTATGTGCATGAATCACTGGCATGAACACAGAGTATGAAAAAATGTGCGGTGCGTGTAACAGTTTCCGCGGAAGTATATAATACATGTATTGATGTATAGCCGCGTGATATGCGCGTTCACGCTATTTTTACCGCAGGCAATTTTTACCGCCGCGGCAGTAACGGATTTCGTGACGTTAGTGGGAAACGTCGCAAAGTCTAATTTCTGAGCAAAAATCACGTGAAAAGTAGACATCGGCTTTTGCTCTAATCTTCCTGATGATACACTTCATAATTTATTGGCTGTAGCGTGGTTTATGGCTGGGTGTGTTGGAGAAGGGGGTGTAGGAGCTTGGAGCTGTATGTACTGTGTACACGGAACTGAATTCCCAACACGAAGGAAATCGCGATTGGAATGGAAATAGCAATCGAACGCGAGACGGGGTCGCCTTGCATCTGAGAAATCTTTGCTATCCGCTGAATTGATGAGTGCTTGGGGACCTGGCATTTTTTCAAATTTATTAATAATGAGAATTCCTCAAATTTGTATTTCTAACGCACGATACGTCGTGGGGCATTCATCTGTCCGTCTGTATACCAGTATTGTATTCGATTGTTGGTATGGAGAGGCGATTAAAAAACCTCATTCGAACCATAGCGTTGCGTGTAGTTACGTTCTCTGTATTTTGGCCCTAAGTGGCTTTTTAGGGACATTACTAGCTATCATATCCCGACCTGTCGGAGCCAAAAAAAAACATAGTTAGCCTGCAGGAATCTACCTGTTGAAGTAGTCACTGTCACTACCCGTTGACTCACACAATCATGTCCCCGCACCTTATTAGTGAAGAATTAAATGGCCATTTCGGCCACGATATATACGTTTGCATTATCATGTTGCCATCTGGTGTCACGTTGTGTCATGTTACGTGCTGTTATGCGCAGTATCGGAGTCTGCTGTGGCGTGTGCAAGCTTTTTCTTGCATTCCTTCTTGGCTTGACAATTACGCTGGGAAATCTTCCCATCTTTCCCAGCATCTTCCCATCTTTCCCAGCATCTTCCCATCTTTCCCAGCATCTTCCCATCTGCTGGGAAAGATGGGAAGAAGCTGGGAAAGATGGGAAGATGGGAAGATGCTGGGAAAGATGGGAAGATGCTGGGAAAGATGGGAAGATGCTGGGAAAGGTGCAGCGCCGTGAGTGCACGCATCCTGCGAATGCGATCGCCGGTTGGCTGTATTTATAATTGTAATCGTAATTATATTTAATTGGCTTCTGCTCTCCGGTAAAACGTCCTCTTCGCCGGAATGTTGCGCGCACGACACACATGCCTGTGCCTAGTTAGAGTTGGTTTGGTATCGTAATCAATTATTAGTGGGCACGCCGCACGCGAGGTTATTCTGTCTGTTCACTCCACAAAGGGCGTTATTGATTCGACTGCGCGCACGTGAGTGAGTGACTGGCGGACCCAGCTAGTTTATGCCGTGGTGCAGTAGTAGCTTATATTGCGCGTGTTTTTCCGCGCTTGCTCGATCTACAAAGTGGATGCGCGCCAGTTTAAAAACGGCAACATGCACTGTCATGATCATGTGCCTCGCCTTCACAAATTATGAAAAAGAAATTATGATAAGCGGAATAAATTATGCAGAGTGCATGCATGCGCTGTCACGGTAGACTGTAGACATCATCGCACCAGGTGGTTGCGTTGGGAGTGGGCGAGGGTGGGTCGAGAAATAACGCAGAAATACAGCGTCGTACATGCGTTCAGACTCTCTGCGAACCTCACGCTGCGAGGCGGCATCGCTTTCTCGAGCCTCCGTCACTCTCGCTTCCACGCCGGCGTAGCTCGTGCGTTTCAACGGCGCTAAAAATAAAAACCGTACAGCAAAAAGGCGTGTAAACTGTAAACTAGCACAGATGAATATAGCAATAGTTCGTTCGTGCCAACGCGGGCGAGACCTCGCTGTTGTGTGACGGCGCTGGCAAGTGTGTGTGTGTGTGTGTGTGTGTGTGTGTGTGTGTGTGTCCGTGCGCGTGCGCGTGCGTGTGCGTGTGCCTGTGCATGGGCGTTTGCGTGTGCGCGTGTTTGTGTTGTGCGTGTGTGTGCGTCAGTGCGTGTGTGTGTGTGTGTGCACCCGTGTAATAAGCTGCCGTGTGTCTTAATTATTCGCAGGCAAGGATCGCTTGCGGGGAATAACGTCGGAAACTCTAAAGCTAGCGTGTTTTGATATCTAGGCTAGGCGGTAGCGCGCTGTCTCTCCTACTTTCGCTACACGCGTGAACACAGCGACTCTCTGTGTTTCGCCGAGCATGGCCGAGGGATGCCTCCGCCGCCTTCGGCGATTCCACTAACATAGTGAGAGTTTGAATTATCATCACAATGTCTCTCGTCACGTGATCACAGTGCGTGCGTCTACAGCTCCAGGGCCTGTATTTTCCAGGCATCGCCAAATTTCTCTCTCTCTCTCTCTCTCTCTCTCTCTCTCTAATGTTGAAATATCTCTATTAGCCATATGTGCTTGCAAGCTCTCCGGTCGCCCTTTCATCACTAAACACACCGAGCTGGGGTTTTACGGCGTGTGTAAGTGCCAGTGCAACGCGTTGTTGACTACTGAGAATATATATTTAGTCGTATATATCAGGTTATAGATTATAATCATTTAGTATCCATATATGTACTGAGTATACTATGTCTATATGGCACATCTGCTGGAATGGACAGTGTTACGGAGAAATCAGGGCGCGGGTCGTCGTCGTCTTGAGGTACACCTAGAACCCGGAGGCTCTATATAGCCAGTGTCAGGATTCGGTCTGGGGATTTCCCCAGTTCCTCCACCTCCATCGAAACATCCACAGTGCATTTGTAATGCACTAAGTGCGGGGTAATTTGTTAGCCAGTGCTGTACAGTTTCTGGCTCTTGTTCGCAGCGGGGGCAGATGGCTGGGGTCTCTGCTTCGTTAATTTAGTGCGCGGGTAAAATAAAACATTTTTACGCGCCTCATTATCTCTTTCATGGTCGCTTTCTGCTGGAGCTCCCGTCTTCTACTGTTAAGCACAACGCACACACCCGAGCGAAACACGAAATTTTGTTTTCCAGCGTTTCGCGTTCTGCTGAGCGAGCAAGCGCACACAGCTGAGCAAAACATATAGAAACATTGCGCACAGCGCCGCTGTCACATGACATCTAAAATAGCCATCCAATGGACATCCAATTTTGTGTGTCATGTGATATTTTTAAGGATATTGATTGGAGACCGTCTGTGGCGTTTCGCTGTGTAGCAGAACAATTGACGCACACACCCGAGCAAAACATACGCTCAGGCGAAACACGCTCCGCAAATCAAACATTGCTTGATCAGCGAAACACGCTCAGCTGAGCAATGTTTCTTGTTTCGGGAATCCGCACACAGCCACGAACATCGGGTTGGTGGCAGCGTAGGAACCGCGTTGCTGGGTCGTACATAGCAGCTCTCCATCGGCGTACTTGTACATTTGTGTGCGTGCGTGCGTGCGTGCGTGCGTGCGTGAGTGTGCGTGCACGTATAACGAAGGTTTTCATAGGCCTCTCGTCACTCGTTTGTCAATGATCGTAGACAGTACTCCCCACGCACACTCACAGCATTATTGCACGCCCACGACTTTATTAGTATTAATTGCCTGCAGTCTCTGTCGCCTATTAACTTCCACTGGCATTATTATTTTACGTCGCTACACACGCGCGTGCGTGAATGAGTGTATGTGTCTTCGCGCGTGTTTTCATATAGAGTCCGTTGCAATCGCATTTTTGTGTATTCAGATTTTTTCTATTTTCCATTCTCAGGTGTTGGAATCGGATCTTGGTGCTTTCACATGACGCTTCGATATGAAATGCAGGTGAGCTTGCATGTTGTGTGAGTTAACTTGTATTGGGGTTATTGAGAGAGTAATTAAGCAAGAGCTAAATAACGGAATGGGGAGAGGAAAGGAGAAGATGAGAGAAGAGAGAAAGAGAAACAGGCGGAGACAGAGAGAAGGAGAGAGAGAAAGAGAGAGAGAGGGGAATGGGAAGAAAGAGCAAGACATGAAGGGGGAGGGAGAGAGAAGCAGATAGAAAAGAGGGAGAAGACATCAACATCCTATAGTTTTGTGGATGGAATATACGCTCAAACAATAATTATAATGCCGCTATACATTTAATGCTATTATTCGATGATAATTTGGTATCTGGATGTGTAAGCTAATGCTTGTTTCTCGCTGCAGCTACTGGACGAACTTCCAATGATATGGGGAAGCATTATCTTTGTCTACGCATTGTAAGTATAGCACAACCTTAGTAAAGAAAGCATAATCTTTGCCCACCTTACATAATTTACCTGCATGACAAAACAGGATAACCTTAGATGGGTTAGCCTTAGGGGAATATGGCAGAAGCATTTTTCTCGTAATATTAATGTTTGCCGTAACTCTTTCTGTGTATCACGATGCTACTGGTGGTTGTCGTAGAGTTACGATGTTTCAAACGGAGCCCCCCCCTCCCAACCCGTGATTGCACCAGATCCTGTTCTGTCATCATTCTGCATGTTCCAGAACCGTAACGGTGGTTGTGAATATGAGCAGAGCAAGGTGTGGTGGGTAATTGTCCTGGTGGGTAATTGTCCGGGGGGTAATTGTCCTGGTGGGTAATTGTCCGGGTGGGTAATTATCCGGGTGGGTAATTCTCCTGGTCGGTAATTTTCCTGGTGGGTAGTTGTCTGGTGGGTAGTTGTCCAGGGGTAGTTGTCCTAGAATCTTATATTATAATGATAAAACAGGAATCGTAAAAAGCGGCTCCATACCGGCTCGTCTGCTGGCTTCGTTTCTATCTACTGGTGTTTTTTGTTCCACTGTAAAATCTGTTTCGTATCCATCCAGGTGGCACGCGCACTATGTCTCGCGGTCCCATTTCCATAGCTGCTCCTCTTATACAAACTAACAAACTAAGTTAACTAACTTACAGTGTAAACAATCATAGGTTGAAACGCAGTTGGTGTTTGGGAAATTGTGGTGGTTGGTCGCTCCGCGGGCCCGCTGTGTAGTGGAAACTCAGTTGCGTTCACCATAGACCGTGGTAATGAGTGTAAAGTTCAGCCTGCGTGCGCGTGTGAGTGTGAGTGTGCGTGTGAGCGTGTGTGCGTGTGTATGTGC